CCATTTTAAAAAAGACAAAGTTGGGGCTGGGGATTTAGCTCAGCGGCACAGCGCCTGCCTGGCAAGCGCAAGGTTGTGAGTTCGATTCCTGGTACCGGAAAAAAACAAAATCCAAAAAACAAACAACAACAAAAAAAGACAAAGCAGCAATGTTTCCTATTTCAGACTTGCACAGGAGGGAGGCTCACTCTGTATAACTTTTCTGGAGCAGGGTCTGCACCAGAAGTTGCAGAGGGCCGGGAGCTACTGCCACGAGACTTTCCAGAAGTGCTGACACTGAAATGTGACTGACTGCCAGTCACAAAAATAAGCAGAACAAACTTTTGCAGAACATCCAAAGTCTTGTGATACCTGCTTTATTTTGCATTAGTACTGCGCTAGCGAAGATTGAACCTAGACCCTCATGCTAGGCAAACGCTCTACTGCCGAGCTACACCTCCAGTCCTTTCTATTTTCTATTTTGAGACAGGGTCTCCCTATTCATAGGCACCTCATGCTGGCCTCAAACTTTCGATCTTCCTGTCTCAGCCTCCCAAGTGGCTGGGGTTACAAGTGTGCACCACTGCACCTGACTGCTTTTTTTTTTGGTGCTGGAGACAGAAGCCAGGGTCTCACGCATGCTAAGCTGCTCTACCGAGTCACACCCCAGCCTCTGACACCTGCTTTATATATTTCCACAGCAAACTGTTTGCGCCTCCCATATGAGTTTTTTCAAGCAACTATGTAATAAAGCAATTAGGAGATGTAAATCTGCCTGTAAATAAATGGCGAAAGGCACTGGAGTGGGTTCTGTAGATTTCCTTAGGGCTCCTATCTTGATCACATAAAAAGTAACTCCCCATGAAGACAGAAGCTCCCCGCTGGGCATCAGTGCAGCACCCGCCTGGCGCAAGCACGGGGCCCAGGTCAGTGGGGCGAGCTCTCACTGGCCCGACCCAGGCAGGTGCCGCACACACCATCCCTGTCCCTGTGTTTATCTGGAAGCCGGGCGGCAACCGGATCCATCTCGTAGGTTGTAACCGGGATTAACTGAGACCTTCAGCAAAGAGCTGGGGGTGCAACTCAGGGGTCAGCACCTGCCTAGCACATGTTGAGGCCTTGGGTTCCACACCAGCGCCATGTAAATAAATGACTGAATAAACACCTGAGGAAGAGCCAGCCGTGGTGGTGCAGGCATGCAATTCTGAACCTCAGGGGGCTGAGGCAGGAGGATTGCCGTGAGTTTGAGGCCAGCCTGGGCTATACAGTGAGTTTAAGACCACCCTGAAGTACACAGTGAGACCCTGTCAAAAAAAAAAAAAAAAAAATACACCTAGGGAGCCAGGTGTGGTGCACACCTGTAATCCTAGCACTTAGGGAAGCTGAGGCAGGAGGATACCATTGATTCCTGCCTATGCAATTTAAGAAGACCATGTCTCAAAATTTAAAAATAAAATAAAATTTAAAAATAGCTAAGAATGTAGCTCAGTGGTAGAGAGCCCCTGGGTTTGATCCTCCGGTACCAGAAGAAAAAAAGAGAATATTAAATAAATAAATAGCCTAGGGAATGTTTAAGCAGAGAAATGAACTGACAGCCATTCAAATCAACCCACTCAGAAAGCACGACTAAGCCTAGCATGTAGTACACACTTGTAGCCCCAGCTACTCAGGAGGCTAAGGTAAGAAGGTTGCTTGGGCCTAGGGGTTCAAGACTTGCCTGGGCAACAGAGGGGGACCTCATCTAAACAAACAGCCAGGCATGGTGGCACATGCCTCTAATCTTGGGAGGCTGATGCAGGGGACTGCTACAAGTTCAAGGCCAGCCTGAACTACATAGCCAGACTCTGTCTCAAAAAGCCCCCCAAAAACAAAGAACAAAAACAAAAACCAAACAAGAAAGCAATACTAGCCTCATTTCAGGAAGGGGAAACTGAGGCACAGACAGAGACCCTGCACCAGCTCACGGCCTTGGTCCTTAGCCTCCACACCAAAGGGTGAGGTTGCTGAGCGATTCAAGTCAGGTCCAGAGCCGCTGTGCAGCAGGAAAGACGAGCCATGGGGGGCGGGGTTCCTGCAGATGCCCCTCACACAGCAGGCTGGAGCCGCTGAAGGCTGCAGAGCCAGGGCTGAACCCAGCAACAGCCCTCTGGGCCGGGCGCTGGCCCTGGGCTCCAGAACTGGACTGTAGTGTGATCCTGCTGTACCCTGACTGTACCCCTGGGCGTGTCACTTGACCCGTGCCACCGTGCCCCCACCTGGAAAGGGAACAGTGCCTGCCTCTCTGGGCTGCCCCAGAATGGTGACTGGCCCCTCTGAGGTTCTTGTTCCTGCCCGTGCCCCTGGCCCAGCACAGGGCAGCACACAGAAGGGCCGGGCACCGGCTCCCAGTGTCCCTGCCCGCCAGGCTCACCTGGCAGAAGGTGGGCGTGTGCACGGCCGACAGTGCCCGGCGCAGGGTGTCCACGTCACTGAAGCCGGGGGGCAGGCGGTCCACACAGAGGCAGCGTGAGTGCAGCAGGGCCGGCGTGAGCTGGCCAGCGTCTGTCCAGTGCACGTACAGCGTGCGAGGGCCCAGCGGCTTGCCCAGCAGGTCTGACTTGGCGCGGGCGGCCGAGTCCTTCTTCATGTACTCTGCGAAGCCGTACCCCTTCGAGTGGCCGGTGTGCTCACTGTAGACCAGGAAGCAGCGCTCCAGGCTGCCGAAGGGCCGTACCAGCTCCTCGAACTGTGCCTGCGTGAGGCTTGGGGGCAGGTTGGCCACGCACAGCAGCGCATCCGTGGGCTGCAGCTGCACCGACAGCTCGCGCTCCCTCAGGCGGCTCTGGTGGAAGGCGCCAATGGCCGCCTCGGCCTGCTCCCCGTTCAGCAGGGTCACGAAAGCTGCACACAGGAGAGGAGGTGCGGTCACTGGGGGCCCTGATGGCCTGCTCCCAAACCCATACCCTCTGAAGCACGGGTGACCTCAGAACAGGGGCCACAAGGACATCCCAGCTCTCAGCTGCTCCGGACAGCTGAGAAGAAGCTAGTGCCTCCTTCGGTCACCCCTGCGTCTCTTCACAGCCCAGAGCAGGTGAACCACGCGCATGGATGCATCCTAAGACCCACGTGCATAACAGGTCCCATCAGGGCAGGGTCACTGCAGCCCCTCAGACTCTGTGTGGCTTTGGGTCTCAACCCACCCACCTGCCCAACGAGAGTAACAGAGCCTCCCAGCAGAAGTAGGCTCACTGCAGCACCCTGCCAGGGGCAGGACCCTTGGACACGAACAGCCTGGCACTGGCACTGGCTTGCAGTCCCAGCGCCCTGGAAGTTTGAGGTAGGAGGAGCACCTGAGCCCAGGAGTCCAGGGCCAGCCTTGGCAATACAGAGACCCCATCTGTTAGAAACCAAGGCATGCCAGGCGTGGTGGCGCCCACCTGTAATCCCAGCACTCAGGAGGCTGAGGCAGGGGGACTGCTGCGAGTTCGAGGCCAGCCTGGGCTACAAAGTGAGTTGAAGGCCAGCCTGAACTGCATAGCAAGACCCTGTCTCAAAAAGACAAAAAAAAAAAAGCCCAAGTCATATCAATTAAGACCATGCCTGTATTCCCTCAGCACTCGGCAGGCTGAGGTAGGAGGATGCAGTTGTAGCCAGCACAGGCTATAGAGCAAGTTCAAGGCCAGCCTGGGGTACAAAGTGAGACTCCATCTCAAAAATAAAACAAATCAAATCAAGTAAGTGAGGCACAATGGTGCACACCTGTAATCCCAGCTACTTAGGAGGCTGAGACAGGAGGATGACAAGTTCTAGGATGTGCCAGATACCCATTACCTGTCACTTACTGACAGCCAGAGTGAGGAAAAACCAAGGTTCCACTCTCACACCTGTCTGCCCCTGGCCCGGTCTCCCCAGGACACGTTCACACCCATGTCAGACTCTCAGCAAAGGCTCCTGCCCACCTCTCAGACAGTTTTGAGGAGAGAGGAAAATGATCAGAGTCAGGTTTGAGCTGATGGGGCTCCCAGGGGAAGGCAGGTGATAGCATGACGTGTGGAAGGCAGTGAGGCAGGAAGGAGGCAGAGACAGAGGGAACAGGGACCAGGAAAAGCGGCTTGAAGGAGCAGAGCAGACAGGCCTGCTGATCACTAACTAGGGCAGGGAGAAGGTGAGCCCCAAGCTGTGCATCCAGGATGCCAGCCGCAATGCCTCGCTGAAATGGGCAGGGTCAGCGTTGGGAACGAAGTTCAGGACACATTGAGCCAAGATCCCCTAATCTTTTTTTTTTTGTCTTTTTGAGACAGGGTCTTGCCCTGCAGTTCAGGCTGGCCTTGAGCTCACTTTGCAGCCCAGGCTGGTCTCAGACTCTCAATGATCCTCCTGCCTCAGCCTCCCGAGTGCTGGGATTACAGGCGTGCACCACCACGCCTGGCTAAGACCCCCTAATCTTCAAGGACTGTCACCACCTGCCCCGGCCCACCCTGTGGCAGCACAAACCTGTCCCTTTGTATTTGTCCACAAAACAGTACTTGAGCTCATAGTCGCTGAGTAGGTCATGTACTTCCTGCAGAGAAAGAAGCCAGAGAACAAGGGGTCACCAGGGATGGAAGGGAATAACCCAGGGCAGCTTTCAGTGGCTCAGCCCGGAGGGCAGGTAAGCAACCACCCCGTCTTGCAAATCAGTGTGGCCACATTATCTGCTCAAGGCCACCCGGCCACTGTTCCCTGCAGAGGTGGGCTTGTGCGGTACTAACACCTGTCCTTCCGGGAAGCTGCTGAGGTATGGCTGAGTCTCTATGTGCAAAATTTAATGTTTCTGACAATTCCACAGTTCTGTATCAACACATCAATTTTGCAGGTGAGGAAACTGAGGCTCAGAGAAGCTAAGGAACATGCTGCACAGTCAGTCCCTGCCTGACCAGGGAGCACAGGGACTTGAAAGCCCACACTGTGCAGCTCTTTCAACTGCCCAGCCCCTCCTGTCGCGAGGGTCACCTTCTCATCAGCCAGCTTGGAGGGTGAAGCTCTGGTACCTGCTTATGGCTCCAGAAACAAATCAAAACGTGCATGGGGTCTCTTACCCAGGTCTGTCCCCAAACCATGGCCTCCTAAGACCCCCGGGGCCCCACTAGCCAGTGCCCACCTGTGAGGAAAGAAGGCCAATGGTAGGTATGTTGGTGGGTTAGAGTGGGGATCCCCAAGAGCAGGGACCTCACCATTTCCCCGCGGCAGGGCAGGGCAGGGTATGTGGCACTGCGCTGGGTCCAAAGAGCACTGGGAGGCCCTGTGCCATGTCGGTCCTAAGACAAGGGCGCTCCTGGCAGCAAGATTAGCCAAGAGGAGCGCCACAGATCACCCCCTTCACTTTTCTGCAGATGTGGAAAAGCCTAGCAGGAAACCTCATTTTCCCAAATCAATCCTGACCCTTCGGGGAAGGCTTCTACAACTTCCGGCTCTCTCTCCCAGAAGGGAGAGTCAGGGTGTGATAGGGAAGGGCACACTCTCACCCGGAAACTTCTGGATGTGAGGTCCCGCCACCGCGTCGTAGGTGACCGCACGAAAGCACAAGCCGAGCTGGGATCACCTGGAATCCCCATCTCCGCCCCTCCCAACTTGGCAGCCCACTCACGGTCCCCCCTCCAGCCCAAAGCTGCCCGCCCCCTTCTATTCCCCGCCCCCTCCAATCACTCAGTCTCGACCAAGCCGCTGGTCGCCCCTAGCAACGGTCTCCCTCAGTCCAAAGTTGGTTTCTCCCTTCACCACAGCCCCCCACATCTCGTTCGTTCTTGGTCTCTCCCAACCCCGCGCGAATCCCGCGCTCGGACGCCCCCGCCGACGCCCCCCGTCACCTATGCCCCGACGGGTGTCGCCTGGTTTCCCCCGCGCACGCGCACGGTGGTATTTCCCGCCACGCTCCCACACCGCCCCCCCATACCTGGTTGGTCACGTCCCCCGGGAGGCCCCGGATCAGTATCTTGCGGCGGTTACGAAACTGTCTTTCGGTGTGTTCCAGGCGCTTCCGGATCTCTTCTGGATCTAGCGGCGACAGCTCTTCTTCAGGCGCCCGGCGCTCCGCAGTCTCGCTGGCTTCAGCCTCGGCCCCAGGCTCCGGGCTTAGCGGGGGCCGGTGAGTAACGGACACGTCGGCCGCCATCTTGGGAGACCCGGCGCCTTCTGGGACCAGCGAGCCGGGGCGGAGCGGCATAGAGCGGCAAAGAGCACGCGCCTGCCGATTGGTCGAGAAAATCCCCGCCTCCCTCCAGATCCCTTCAGCCCATTGGCTGAAGCCTGGCCAGCCTCTCAGAGTGGGGGACGCGTCAGGGTCGCCATAGACACCGCCCCCTTCCGCGGCCTCGATGCTGTTCGTTACAAGCGTGGAGCGCTGGAGCGAGCCCAGTGGCGCGGATGGAATCCAGCCACAGACTACGGAGTTCAAAGGCTTTATTGGTGGGGAATGCCAGGGGAATGCCAAAGTCCCGGCCGTCTTTGTCCCAGAATCCCGACATTCCCCAACTCAGGACGCCTCTTCCCCCGCCCAGTCTTCAGGCTCTGTCCCACTGAGGGGCACCGACTTGCTTTCCTGCCTCACGCGGTAGCTGCCGCGACGCCTCTGCTTTCCGAAGACAGATAGTAAGGCCCCTAGGACGATGACCGTTGCCAGGACCGCTATCACCGCCAGGCCGATGGTGACCGAGGAGACCTTCGAATCTGCGCAGAGAAAGTTGGGAGTGAATGTCCGTGCCCGGACCCTCGAGGGCTCTCTCCTCCAGAGCCGCGGCGCTTCTTTGGCTCCTTGTCCCGCGGGCTGGCCTCCTGGCAGCGATAACTGACTTTATGGTGTATCTTGACACGGCGTAGGATACCGATGGGTACTGCAGGCCCGGAGCCTCCTGGTAAACAGCCCTGAGGTTGGCTCGCCGCGGGCCTGGCACTGCCATACAAAAGTAGTGCTGTCTCTCCACTCCGTATGCTGGGGACATTTGGCTGGTCAGTCTTTTTGGTTTTTTTTGAGACAGGGCTTCACTACGTAGTCCAGGCTGGCTTCGGACTTCTGGTGATCCTCCTGCCTCAGCCTCCCGAGTGCTGGGATGACAGGTGTGCGCCACCACACCAGGCTAGGACTCTGTGTAACCACTAAGTGATGAGACACCCCAAACCCCTGACACGCAGGAGAAAGTCAGGAGAAGGCAATGAAGATTTAAAAGGCCCAAGGGACCAACTCACCCAGGACTCGAAGCTGGACAACCCTGCTCCTATATATGAGCTCTCCAGCGACCTCCAGGGTGGCATTGCAGGTGAAGTGGCGTCCGTCATCGCTGTCAGTGGCAGTTAGCTGAAGCTGGGCGGGCTTCCCCGGAGACAGGGCCAGAACCCCGTCCAGCATGACCTGGGCTCGAGGTCCGGCCGTGCAGGTCACATTCACTATGGAACCCTTGGTGACGCTGGTTTTACTCAGGCTCAGAATGGGCCCTAGGAAGCCTAAAGATTTGGCAGAGCGTTGCCCAGGCTCTTAGTGACTATGACCATCCTCTGGGTCAAGCCATCTGCCCCTTCCACCCCTTTCCTCCTGGGTGTCCAGATCCCGCTTTTTTGGCACCCCCCCTCCCCATTTGGGGCCCTCAGGAAATACTTTGCAGGTTACCCAGGCCCCGCCCACGCTGCAATGTTCTTTGGGTAGCTCAGGCCCCATCTTTCCTTCTATTTAGTATCCACCCCACATGCCGCACCTTCAGCCACAGCTGTCGATAGCCTGCCTGTGCTCATTAACTGTAAATAGGTTCTTCTTTTTAATTTTTTTTTTTTTTGGTTTTTTTTTTTCCGGTACCGGGAATCGAACTCACGACCTTGTGCTTGCCAGGCAGGCGCTGTGCCGCTGAGCTAAATCCCCAGCCCCTGATAGG